CTCTCTACCCATGTGATGTGATGGCTCCAACAGCAGCTTTGGTCTTCTCTGGGAAGAGCTAAAAGCTTGAGATGTGTGACGTTAATTGTATCTCTGTAACTTATTTAAATATCGTTGCCATCAAAATAACTTACCGTGATGCTGGGGCCCTGTGAACACTAGACATTGAATTTCCTTTCCAAAAATGGTGTGTATGCTTCCTGAAGGTCAGAATATATAGAACAGGCTTCCACCCATCTACAAATGGCCAGGAGTGACCATCTAGGAATTGCAATTTAGAGATTCTCTGTTGGAAGGACTCTGCTCTGAAAAGCAAACTGTGAAGAGTACACAGCCACGCCTGTGCCCTAATAAAACTTTACTTACAAAACCAGATTCAACCAAAGGTTTCTGATCCCTGTCTGAAAGATCCTGGGGCATCCTTCTCTCCAGACTTGGGACTGTGTTAACGGAGTTTTCTGTTCTGCCTGGTCCCACAGCCATTTAGTCCCAAGTAAACGTGCAGAGGCTTCTATTAATTAGAAACTGTTTGGCCGATGGCTCAGGCTTCTTATTGGCTAGCTCTCTCTTAATTATTATTCCATTTCTATTCATCTAAGTATTTCCATATGATCTTGGCTTACTGGAGAATGCACAGCATCCTATCTTCCCATAGCTACTTGGCATCTCTCTGGCGGCTTTGTCTCCTTCCCAGAATTCTCCTGGTCTGGTAGTCCTGCCTATACTTCCTGCCTGGCTACTGGCCAATCAGTGTTTTATTCACCAACCAATAAGAGAAACATATTAACAGCATACAGAAGGACATGCCCCATCAGGACTGTCTTAGCACTGAGGATTCGACCCAGGGTCTCAGGCATGCAAAGCAAGCACTCTGTTAGGGAGGTACACCCCAAGTTCTGTTTTATTGTGGACTGGTTCTCACTAAAGTTCTCAGTGGGTGGGGGTCTTGAACTTGTGATCCTGTTCTCAGTCTTCCTGAGTGTCCGACTGGCCTTGGGAGCATTCTCAGTGAGTTACAGGCTGTGTCTCCTCAGAGCCCTCTCTCTCTCTGCTGTCTAAGCTCCCAGAGACACTCACAGGAGGATGGGCAAATTGGCTGACTGGCAGCCATAGTGAGGAGGGGACTTTCTCCCTGCAGTCAGGCCCCGGCTTTGGACACTGGGCTTGCTCCTCCTCAGGCCTGGATTCATCTGGACTTTCCCGGTGTCTTTCCCCATGACTGTGTGCTCTGCCAAAGTCATCCCTGCCCCCAGTCCACACCTTGCCCACATTTGGAGGCTGTTAGAGGAATCAGCCTGCAGCCTGGCCTGGCCGAGCTGGCCCTTTTATCTTTCTTTATAAATCACCCTCTCCCTCCTCCCCGATCCCGCTTGTCCAGCTCCTCTGAACCACCTCCAATTTGTCTCTCATTGAGTGGTGCAGGGTCCTGCCTGAGAGACCAGGTGTGGCTCTTCTGAGGCTGGAGTGGAAGGAGGGGCACTTCCCCATCTGCAGCCAGGCGCCTTTGAGGCAGATCCACGCCTTTGCCGGGCTCTGCTGGCTGCAGCCCAAGTAGTTTCCTTACTGAACAGTCACTCAACATTTATTTCCTGAGCTTCGCCGTGCTCAAGTGCCAGGTGGGAAGACCACGGCTGTGCCACGGCCCGAGCCCCGGAACACGTGTAGTCTCCTTATTATGCGTTTTTTTTTTTTTTTGCAAGCTCCACAGAGGGAACCTATGGGGTCTGATAATGGGCAGACACAGCAGGGAGAGCAGGGCCTCTGAAAAGTGACTTCCATGTCTGGGCCTGAAAGATGAACGGAGCCAGCTGTGAACACAGTGGAGAGGAAGAAACAGCACGTGCAAACGTCCTGTGGTCTCACCGTGCTTGTCTTGCGAGCGCTGGGAGGTCTGCTCTTAGGCACACTGGGCATGCCAGCGCTCTGGCTAATGCACTGGGGACAGAAGTGCTCACAGACACAGTGCGCTTCATGACTGTCCTAATAGCATCTACCTAAGGCCGAGGAGTACATGCTCGATGCTCTGTTAACTTTATTAGTGTGCAGGGAAGACCTTCCGCAGATAAAGAAACAGAGGCTTGGGGAGGCTCAGCAATTTGTCTAACATCACACAGCTTTAAGGAGGGAGAGCTGTGAGTCTAATCCAGATAAGTTAGACTCGGGTGCCCTCAGTGTGAGGTGATTAGTGAGAGGACTTTAAAAAAAATAGAGATTGATTTCATTTGGAATTACGTGTATGTGAGTGCCACCCGCATATGTATAAACACATGAGTGTAGGAGCCCTGGAGATGCCTTGGGCATCAGTGTTAGAGGCTGCTATGAGCACCCTGAAGTGGATGCTGGAACCAGCAGCCTCATGCTCCACCAATCAGGGATCAGAGAAGATGGTACTGGGGGCCCAGCTGCTTTCTCCTTTTTATCTAGCCGGGGACCTTGGCCCATGGGATGGTGTCACCCACACTTAGGGCGGGTCATCCCTGCTCTGTTCAGCTTTTCTGGAGACATCCTCACAGACATACCCAGAGGTGGTTTCCATGGTGATTCTATACCCTGCCAAGCTGACAACCATTATATCAAGCAAAGGACTGGTGACAGGGGCCATAAAGATTGGGTCAGATGTTTGGCTCTAACGTCTGGGGCGGGGGCTGCCTGTGGATGTAAGGAGCAGGCTGAGGAGGGTGCCTGTTGCACACAGATTGTGGGGAGTCCATGGGCACCCAGGACCATGTCCTGGGCAGATACTATGGAGGACAGAGCTGGGAATGTGGGAGGGAAGCATGGTTGGAGTGCCTTTGATGTGATTGTCTCACATCTTAACTCTCCGGTCTACACCAGAGAGGGCCCTTGTGAGACACATTTTGTCTATGGGGAAACTAAGACCTGAGGAAATATAGCTATGTACTCTAGGTCTTATGGTCAGTGCATGGTAGATCAGGAAGCAATGTCTGTCTATCTATGTGTCTATGTACCTATCTATGTATCTATGTTCCTATGTATGTATGTATCTCTCTGTCTTTGTATGTATTTATATATCTATGTATCTTTGTATCTATCAATCATCTATCCATATTGTTTTCCATTGAGAGAGAGAGAGATCTGACATATCCCAAGCTGGCCTCAAATTCCTCAAATTCAACATTTATCAGACCTTGAACCCCTAATCTTCATGCCTCTGCCTCCATATTAAAGGCATATGTCACCTCACCAGGTTCACTGACGTCATTTCAGAATTTGGGATGGACAAAGCCCACATCTCTTTCTTCTTGTCTGGAAAGTGGGAAACACTCATGCTATTCTGTCTACAGGCGTTGTCCTCCAACTGTGGAAGATAGCCCAGTGGGGACAGCATAGGTGTTGTGTTGGTCTTGCTGGGAGGAAGGGATTCTCCTTGTTTGGGCTTCAGGCCCAGCAGAGAAGCCCAGGAACCCAGAGGCAGGAGCTGAGATGCAAATGTATGCCTCCTGACCTCCATCAGCACACACACAGATGCATCAGGGTTAGAACAACTCCCTGGGGTCCCTCCCTGCCATCTCCTGGTCACCGCAGATCAGAGATGCAAGAGCAAAGGGCACACTTCACAGATCCCTCACTAAAGGTGTGTAGGATTTGGGTCTCAGCTGAGCATTGGTGTAGAGAAGGAGGCAACATCGAGGTCAGAGTGGGAGAAAGGTGAGTCCAGGCAGAAAAGTGTGAAGGCTTGACTGCCCTCTCCCACTGGTCCAGGAGAGATGTGGGTGGGGCAGAGTCTAGCACAAGGCGTCCTACCCTCACTTCCTGCTCTCCCTAACATCTGAGAAAGACTGATGCTGCAACGATGAAACAGCACACTTACTGAAAGTATAAGTAAGTATTTATTGTAGGAATTACTCACAAGAGACAAACAAGTAACCCAGATGAGCTGAGTAGTTTTCCACCGCCGAGCTGGAAGCCGGAAAGAGGGCGAGACTTCTGCTAACAGTCTTTTATACCTTCCTCCGTACATGCCCCTAGCCATGCCCAAAAGTGGGCCTGGCTAGTGATGTAGTTCACCGACTATGTCAGTATATGTCTTTAGTCATGCCTAAAGTGGGTGTGGTTAGCGGTGCAGTAAACCGCCCTTTTATTACCTCATCTCTAATAAGTCACATGGCTAATGGCCGTGTGCTGTTTCCTCATACAAAGGCCTGTGTTGGTACTTGGGACTGAGCAGCCAGCCATCTTAGCCCATGTCTGCCATAACTATGCCTCTGCGTTTCCATCCCACAGAGAGCAGAGGATCTCCCCAGCTCTGAGAGGCCCACAAAGCACCCCAACTCTTTGCTCACCATCCTCACGATGAACTCAGATGAGTGGCCAGCCAGAGGCCTCCAGGGGCTCCAGGAATCCTGGTGGGTGGTGAGGTCTGTGCAAAGACCCGGAATGGGGCAGCCTCAGAGGGCAATTCCAGGGGCTCAAGGCTGGGACAAAAGTCATTTCCTTAGGTCAGAGAAGGGGAAGGGGAGACAGGATAGATTCTTCCAGGCTTTCGAGATAAGGAAAGACAGCAATAGGTAGCCACTCACCTCGGGCCACTTAGATCATTTCGAGGCCAGCCAGGTGATGCCCTCCATCTACAAGAGGCCTTGCCACATGGATAGACCCCAAGTTGAATCCCTTGTGACCATTTCCTATGATGCCACATTTTTTTTGCCTCTGTTCCAATCACCTGCTATTCTTCATAGTTGTGTTCTGCCTGTGGGAAGTCTGGGCAGGCACCTGTCCCACCCAGGGCAACCAATTCTCCCTTGTCCTGTGTCCCTATGTCAACATTTATACTTCCTTATCTCAGGGTCTGTGTCTTCCCTTGCATGAGAACCACTGTTAGGTCACAGACCATCTCATATACTGCTTGACACACAGTGGGTCTTCGGCACTATTTGTTGACTGAGTGAGTGTAAGGAAGACCTTGATTGTGAGCTACACAATTAGTTGAGTGCCTGACTTGCCAAACACCTGAGGGCTTTTCTGAAGGTGGAGGTTTCTGTCCCGCATGGTCCCACAGATGCTTTGCCCCCAAGTAAACACATAGAGACTTGTATTAAGTCCTCATTTACATTTCATTAGGAGGTGTTGGACTGCCTGTTAAAGGACAGCTCTGTTCTTTCCCTGGATCCTGAGTTTGGGGCAGAACTCAGTGACCCCCCCTCAATGCACCTGCCTCTGTTCTCCATAAACCTGACTGCCAGAACCGTATGTCTAAGATTCTGCCTGTCTCCCCTATGGGTCTGAAAAGTGAGTAGTATGATGGGGATGTCTTCTGTATATATGTTTCTCTTATTGGTTGATGAATGAAACACTGTTGGACCAATGGCCAATGAGGCAGTAAGATAGGTGGGACTAGAAGTCCGGGAAAAGTAGACGGGGGAGCCTGCCAGCCAGTCACCATGCAGCAGGCAAAGGAGTTAGAGGTCCGGATTCCTCTCCGGAAAGATAAGACCACGTGGAAATACTTAGATTAATAGAGATGGGTTAATAAATAAGACAGAGCTAGACAACAAGAAGCACTAGTCACTGGCCAACAGTAGTATAATTAATATAAGTCTCTGAGTGTTCTTTTGGGTCTGACTTGGCTGTGAGATCAGGCTGGTGGGGAAGAGTACTTGTAACCATGGTATTACCTCCATTTTTTTAATATAAGAAGAGATCCAGGACCCCGAGAGGTCAGGTGACTACTCCAGGGCCACTCAGTTAGGACATGGCAGAAGGCCTATATTACCTTGCCTTCAAAGCATCTGAGCTTCCGTCATCTCCAAGCTGATGACTACCCAACCTGGAGAAGGAGATGCAGGTAAGACAGCTACCGGCACCAGAGGATCTCATTGTAGACCAGTGAAATGGGAGAGGGGTTGAAGGGCAAGAGGAAGGAGGCGCCGGGGACTGAGCGTGTATGATTGGGAGAAGTTCCTAGAAGTCACTACAGCTTTGGTTCACTTCTCTGTGTCCTAGAGATCCTGATCTCTGGGGCTCTGCGCTTTTGGTGAATGACGGTGGGGGGGCCCTTAGCAGTGCCTCTACTCATGGGACATTCTCAGGGTACCCACCCTTCGTTCTGCTCTCATTTGGGAATCCAGGAAGATGGCATCATCTTTGGGTGGGAACTCAGAGACCCACATGAAGTCTTCACTAGGGAGCGTGTCACCCTGGGAGCCCTCCAGCTTGGCTTTCACAGGAGGAAGATTTTGACATCTTGGGCTTCAGACACGGCCCTTTGGCTCATGTCAAAGTAGGCGGGGAGTGGGGGGGGGAGCTCAGAGGAGAGGGAAAAATCACAGATCTAGAAAGCCAGTTCTAAGGAGAGAGTGTGACTTATCTCATTGCCCATCTTGGAAAGCTCTGGACAACTCAGGCTCAGAGTGATCAGTGTTTTAGCACATTTCCACATGTAGATTGCTTTTCAGCATTTTTTTTCCATCGCATTTTTAAAGCTCGGGTTGATGAAGGCGAGGGTAGGAGCCAGACCCTGGGGTGGGAGAGGCAAAGGTTTAATAATGAGCTCAAGGTTTACAAGACACAGAAGCCAATACGGCTTCAGTACGTGATGTGACCCTCTGTAGGCCTGGAGACGACTCTTCAGAACTCATTCTGGCCCGACTTCAGAGTGGAGTGGATGCTGGGACACCACAGATTGACTTTGAGGAGTGGGTTGGTATTGCAGGAATTTTTTAATTTCCTGTGACTCAGAGTAGTTTTCTCCCAGGGCGCTTTCGAGTTACTCTACTGTGTGTTGACCACGTTGCTGCTTCAGGAACGGCCCGGAGAAAAGGAAAACACCAGCCAGGAAGAACATTAATGGGATTCCCCTGGAAAACGACACCATCAAGAGTTTAGAAAAATATTTCCAGGGAAATGAGGGACCCACTATTTAAAAGACAGAAACCAGTGACCTGACACCTCTGTGCTTTAAAAAGAGACGTAAAAAAATGGCGTCACTTACACTTTCTAACGGGAAGGAATTTGGGAAGAGCAGATTATTATTAATTATTTTAATAGCTTCTTAATTAGCCCTTCAAACAAGTTTTTTAAAAATCCCCAAAGGTGTCTAATTTGCATGGCATGTTCTTACTTTTCTGTGCATTTCATTAACAGCCCCCTTTAAAAAAAACTAAAAAACCAACACTGCCCTGTACCCCAAAACAAAACAAGCTAACAGTCAGGAGAATAATGATTTTACGAGGTGGAGTTGAAAATGAAGTCAAACTACTGCTCTCTAGAAGTTTGCATTTCTCTCCCCATCTCAGCCGCCCCAGGGCGCTCATGGGAGCTCCCTTAGAGTCACCATGACCCTGGCTGGCTGGCTCCAAAAGGGGCAGGAGCGGAGGGGGCGGCTGCGCCGTCTGCCAGCCGTCAATCTGCCAAGATAATGGACTTCGGACGCCTCAGTGGGCACACGGCCGGTCAGGAGGAGCTGACCCGGGGACACTGAGAGACCGGTATGCGGATGTCTCTCACAATGTGTGAAGCCAGGCAGAAAAGTGGCACATTTGACTGAGAACAGAGGACAGCGCTGAAATCAGCCCCACCCTAACCCCCTTCTCCAGCTCCTGGCGGATGTATGGCTGGGAAGCTGGGGGTGACACTTAGCAGCCCAGGGCATGGTGCCAAGGGGGTGGGCTCAGAACCCTGACAGTGCTGGGCAGGAGGGAGGGGCTGACTGTTACTTTTCCCTGCCTCCCCTCTCCTCCTTTCCTGGTTCCATCGATGTGACCGAGGGCAATCGCAGCCTCCTCTGGTGTATACCAAGTCCAGGACAAGGTCTTGGCTGTTATCATCGCCTTGAATGTTCGTTCTCTACCCTACTCACAAAACGATCTCCATTATTTTTCCCCAGTTGGCAGAGAGCAGCTGTTTAATAGCTAACTTTTAATGAGCAGTTACTATGCAGCAGACCTTGGAAGTCTACTAGTATGAAGTCAGTTAAATATCCCAACACCCACCCATTCTGTGGGAGCTTCCTGCCCACAGTGCAATCTCCAATGAAGAAAAGGAGGTCCAGAGAAGCTAAGTGACTCACCCAGGTCACACGGCTATCCCAGATAGTCCTTGTACCCAAGTTGAACCTTAACTGTTGTCATCCCTCTGAAAGTCCAGCCAAATTACCCGTGTTCTTCCAGGAAGCCTTCTCTGATTTTCCAAAAAAACAGTCTACATTTCTTAACCTTTCCTAAGCCAAGTTTTATTATCTGTGTTGCCGTTTGAAATTTGATCCCCCACCTCTGCCGCACACTTTCCAGATTGTAGCCTCAGCATGCTTTATTTAGCTCAGTGCCTGCATGCCACAGGTACCCAAGACCTGCACCCAACAAGCGTATGATACAAAGCAACTTTAGCCATGAACTGGAACACTGGGTAAAGCCCATTGTATGTTGTTGGGAGCTGAGGGTCCAGCATCACTTATTAGATTTCAAGGTGATTTGTCTTCTTGTTTTTTTTTTTCTTGCCTACTAATGGAAAATTCTCTCCAAAGTCACACTAATTAGCACTCAGAGGCTGTTGTGGCAAAATCTTCCCAAAATAGCCCCAAGTATATCTGCGGGAGGGAAGAAGGGCAGAGCCAGGGACGAGGTATGCAGATTTGACAGGCAGAGAAAGCTTGAAATGGGCAAACTGGCAGCCTCTACCTGTCCCAGAACATGGGTGGGAAGTTGGCAGCTTCAGGGAGGAATAGATGCGTGTTTTTAACCTGTAGGTGGCAAGGAGCCGGCACAAGGAAACAATGTGTCAGGTTATCCTCCCAATGGAAGAGTTCCAGCACAGAGGGCTTGCACAGAGTAGCAAACATGATTGACACTTTTATCACCAGACCAAACAGTTAAGCAGATTTCATTATGGTAAGAATGGGGGCTCAGCAAACTTGGGGAGGGGGTGGACTGTAGTATAAGTGGTGTGTGTGTGTGTGTGTGTGTGTGTGTGTGTGTGTGTGTCCCTCTCCGTTTATTTTATGTCACTATGAAGCCTTGATATTCAGGAAGCCCCTGTCACTCCAAAAACCTCGAAATCAGATGGCTGCTTTTATCGTGAATGTCTCGTTCACTGTACCAGATGAAGAATGACAACGAGTCCGGACTAAAGTTGTGTGGGAGAGATGGCTCAGCGGGTACTCCCAGAAACACCTTTGAGAAACTGGATTTGGGTTCTCAGCATCCAGAAAGAGCTGGATGCTATACCAAGGGCACAGGAGAATCTCTGGAAGTTTGTGGAACAGTGAACCTGGAATAACCATGGAGCCTGCCTCAAAGGAGGTGGAAGGTGAGGATAGCACTGGAGATAGGGAGATTGTTCACACATGTTCACACACACACACACACACACACACACACACACACACACTAAAAATTAAACCAAACGCTGTTGAGTGGCAGGCAGTGGGACGTTCAGTAACAGGACATTCCTCCCCCTTGATCACCTCCACTGGGTTTCCATGTATGTATAAGAAGTAAGCTTTCATTATTTTACAATATGAGGCATTGGGGATGTTTGTTACAGCATCTTGACCTGGCCAATACTGCCTGATGCATTTGCTGACTTTGAAATTCACCCACTTTCCCTCTCTGTCACCTCTTGGATGTCTGTGGCTGATCCTTCTTCCTTCTCCTCGTTTCAGCTTAAAAGACTACTACCCACACTGAGATCCAGCCCACATTCTCTGTAGAACACATCTCTCGCTGAAGCTCTGACCTGCTGCTTTAATGTCATCTGCATATTTGCTTACTCTCTGTCTCTCACCTCTCAGTGTAATTTCCACGAGGTCAGAGACCTTGCTGTGGCCACGACTGTATACCCAGTATATCAACACAGAAGATTGTTTTTAGGGAGGAAATGATCTTGGAGATACAGCAGACAGGTGAAGTGAGTTTATCTCCTTGTCCTCTTGCTAGGCACTCTCCAGACATTCATTTTAGTCTCCAGTCCAAACAGGGTTCTTTGTGTATTGTGATGTCCAGATGATATAGTTCACATGTAATGTTTAGCATAAGGCCCTCAGGATCCAGGGACTGGGTATGGCACCCAAGGAATGCTTGGCTGGGCAAGAGTTCTACGGCCGAATGATAGCCCCAGCCTTGGCATCAGGACCACATGTGGAGCTGATACAATCTCATGAAGGAATCCCAAGGGATAGAGATCTCAGCTACCAGTAGAAAACTCCAGAACCATTCTCTGGGGGAAATGGAGGCTTTGTGAACTCTCTCCCCATCTCCTGCTTATCAGGTCCCCTATACCTTCTCCACCTCTATGAACTGCTTTTTGGGGAAAGGACTTAGCACCAAGTAGGGAAAGGGGGAGTCCCATGGAGCAGTTACTCCCAACCCAACTTTCTTCAAGTGATATTCCACGGCCCAGAGATCTTAGGATCAACTCATGCAGCAATCTTCGATATGGCCTGCTGGCTTTGGTGCACCCTGGAACCCCCACTATCTTTCTCTCTGGCAAATTGTCATGGCTAAGGCAGAAATATCAATATTCTATAATGTGGTGGTTCTCAATCAAAGACAGTTTTCTCCCCAGGGGCCACTGGGAAATATATAGAGTATTTTCAGTTGCCACAACTAACTGGGGAATTGTATTCTTATTTAGAAGATAAGGGCCAATAATGCTGTAAGCACCCACAGTGGCCTGTAGCTGTACTACAAGGCATGATCTGGCCCTGAATGTCAACAGTGATGAAATTTGAGGAAATATCTGAGATCTGAAGGGGAATTGTTTTTTGTTTTTTGAGACAGGGTTTCTCTGTATTGTTTTGGAGGCTGTCCTGGAACTCCCTCTGTAGACCAGGCTGGCCTCGAACTCACAGAGATCCGCCTGCCTCTGCCTCCCGAGTGCTGGGATTAAAGGCGTGCGCCACCAACGCCTGGCTGGGGAGTTGGTTTTAAGGTCTAGTGGCAGCCATGATCCTCTCTTCCACATGAGGCCACAGGATGACAAGACAATGTCAGCTGTATTGTGTCACAGAGGCCAAGGGCTTTCTTTTTGGTTATGTTTGTGTGGGCACTTCTGTGGGATGCAGGTGCGCACGTGCCACAGATATGGAAGTCAGTAGATGACCTAGTTGATCCTTGTACTCTTTAAGACTCAGCTGCCCTGGGAGCTCTGGGGACTCGCCTACCTCTGCCTCCCAGGTCTCTTTAGGAAGTCTGGGACTACAGATGCTCAGTCTACTATATCCACTTTTTATGTGGCTTTTTACAGATTGAAACTCAAGGCCTGACCCTTGCTTGGGCAAGCACACTTTTATCCGCCAAGCCGTCTCCCAAGCCTGAAGTGACCCGGAGAAGGCAAGTGTGGTCATCCCATCTTGCAGATGTGCTCATGGCCTCTAGCGCGGTGTGACCTGTGCAAAGTTGTTCATGCAGGGAGCTAGCAGCGGCGCGTTTAGATGTCACAGTGCCTGCCTGCCATCCCTCCTCCTACCCCAGCTTTTTTTTCCCCCCTGGGAGAACTGGCCTTCAGGTTGCCCGGTGTCTGGGGAAGAAGAAATCCAGGGCTATTTAAGAGAAATGACATCCCAGCTCACCCAAATAAATTACTCAGTAAATTCCACTTGGCTGAGTCTCACTGATCAAAGTGAAAGATCATCAGGAAAACCAGTCCCTGGGTCTTGGGAACTACCACCTCAGGGTGGGTGTGAAATTTTAACCCAGGGCATTTGGTTGGGCAACCACACAGCAGTAAGCTGGGGCTACCAGGGACTAGGATGTCACCAGAGGACAGGAGTAAAGCAGGAGACTGGTGAGTTTCTAGGGAAGGGTTCTGACAGTCTTCTGGGTTCTGTTCTGGGTCACCTGTGGGCTGTAGGCAGCTGGCTCCGTGACTCTGTGGCAGAGAGAGAGAGAGAGAGAGAGAGAGAGAGAGAGAGAGAGAGAGAGAGAGAGAGAGAGAGGATCAGATCCCAAGCCCTGACACTGGGGCCTCCAGACCAAGAAAGGCAAGACCTGCCAGGACTCCTCATCCATGACACCCTAAAGAGCAAAGGTCTATAACACCCCCGCTCCAGCCTGATACTTGCCAAAGGGTTCTCACAGTGGGGCA